GGGGGGGGGGGGGGGTCTATACTCTCAGATCAGCAGGACAAATGTAAAACATGAGTCTTTCTCGTGGAACGATGATAAATTGGCTCAGTGCTTATTGTGTTTGTTCATTTAAGAACAAATATGACGAATGTAGAACAGATAAAGACAAATCAGACGAGGAGGCGACGAGGACACGTGGGCAGAGTGTTAAAGAAGCAATGTTGTGTCTCTGTGTTCATTTATCTCCTATTATTCTATATATATATATATTATTGTCTGTCCTGACCTTGTGAACACGATATCTCAAGAACACATTCAGGGAATTTCTTCTAATTTAGTAAAGACGTTTCAGGTGAAATCACAGATTAACTCAACAACACAAAACAAAGCCCCAGTGCTCTAATAAAAAAGGCACCAGCCTCCTGATCAGCAGATAAAAACTGTAAAATGTGCTTCGGGCCTGAAGGAAATCCCTCTGTGCTTCATTTGGCTGTTTAGAGCAGAGCTGGTCTGTGGCTGTGCAGACTCACAAACATTCATTGATACGTTTTCAGTGGTGGAAGTTGAAATGTCAGAACGACCTCAAATGAGACTGAATTACAGAAATACATAAACTGAAACTGTCCCGGTTGGCGGAGGCATACAACCAGGGGCCGGTACTTCTAGCTACATCTAAATCTTCGACTTTCCTCAAATTAAAAAATGATTTCAGCTGTTTGAAGTCTCATCCTGCGTTCATGGGCTTTTACTAACTCTGCATACAATGCTAATGCTAACTCCCTGCCTGACTATAAATTCTGCAAGTTAGCTACCGGCACACGGAGCAGGTTGTCATCATATCGTTCCATGTTTGATGATAGTTACCATCAATTTTGCCACCGGGGCAAGACTATAAACTGAATATAAAGATGGACGATATGACGGCTTCGTGTGATGAAGCCAAAGCATCTCGATCGCCCCCTAGTGGTTTGGAAAGTCATCTACATTTATAGATTTGAAGTTCAGTCAGTCAACGCTTAGAGAATCCAAACAGCTCTTATCGTGGCTGCTACTTAGATGCTTCAGGGTCATTTCACTCACTTACGAACCTTCCACCGCAGCCATGGTTTAATGAACTATTTGCTTCTCCAGTTTATTCCAACACATTTTGCTTCAGTCCCTCCAATCATGAACGTTTACCATGCTCCCGTCTGGCCTCCTTTTTCCCTCTGCTTATCTTTCGAACTTTCCTAAAAGAGAGAGAGAAAACTCTCACCTTGCATCCTTGGGTACCCGGGCGTTCTCGAGGGAGAACTTGGGCAGGCTGCTGGAGTCGTACGTCCTGGACGTGGGTTCGGCTGACACCCCGGCTTTGGCCCCTTTCCTCCTGTTGAGGGTTTCCTTGATGCGGACGCTGAGGTTAGGGCTGTTCTTTCCGCGCGTTTTGATGGAGGGAGCCCGTGACGCCGTGATTCCAGAGGGTCCGCTCGGACCCTTCATGACGTCCTGGAGCTTGCTGAGCTGGATGCACTTGTTCTGCAGCTCCTCGCTCAGCTCGGCCAGAGCTCGCGTCTGCTTGACGAGCTGCTCCTGAAGACCTCTGATCTGCTGCTCTCTGGCACAAAGCTCCTCGTCCTTCCTCTTGCCTTCTCGCTCCAGCTCCTCCACCAGGACCCTCAGGGAATCCAAGGACGAGATCTTGTACCCGCAGCAGTGATCCTTGTGGGCTCGTCCGTTGGAGGCGCCCGTGTGTTTGTAACGCTTTGATTTCATCGAGCCGTTCCCCATGGTACCACCTGAGGAGACGAGAGGTCTGAATGTCAGTGTTTGCTGAGATGATGGAGCTATCAGCGGGGGAGAGAGGTTTGTTTGAGGAAGCCGGGGGTGATGTTTCACACAAAAGAGCTGACGCTGGGAGGAGAGAGAGCCGGAGACAGAAAGAGAGAGCAGATCAGTATATAATGGTCAGAGAGTGTGTGTCCTCCATTTATTATTCAGGAGGCAGGAAGTATTACGTTACAGCAACAGTCACTCCCTGTCTGCTCGGACGATAGCCGAGGAAATGCTGCACGGGAAACAACAATAATTACAGTTGATCGGAATAAGAAGATGACGGAAACTTCTTGGTTCTGATGGATGTTCCAGAGCTCGACTCTCTGGTAGTCAGAGTGTGTACGTGGGGAAAAAATGTCGGAGAACAATCCAGTGTTTGTTGTGTGGGACTGTCGCCCCCTCACAAACACACACAGTCCACTTCATCCGTCACATTCCTGCTGGGACACAGTCAGAGGATGTCAGGTCACTGCTGCAGCACTTTATTCTGAAAACCCAAACTACCGCCATCAAACATCAAACATCTCAGAGCTGCTTTTATCTTAACTCTTTGGATTCCTGTTAAAAAATAAAAGATCGTATTTCTGATCCCAGGTTTATTCAACAACATCATCACATGACAACAACATGACTGACACGTATGTTCCTACGTTTAAAAAGTCTAGAGACAGAACAGGAGACCGGACCGGATGATGTCGCACCTGCTTCGTGTTCCCGGTGAAATGAATCCAGTTTATTTCTCGGAGCTTCTTACCGGATGTCGCAGTTTTCACCGGAGCTTTAAAAACGACGAAGAGGCAGAAAGACTCAGAGCATCAGCGGAGAGACGCTCCTTCCTCCTCCTCCTTCCTTACTCCTCCTCATCCTCTCCTCCTCTGCCTCCGCCAAGCTCGCGCTGCCTCTCCTCCTCGCGCGCTCTCTCGCGGCGGCGACCCGGGTATGATTGACAGGTCAGGTCTACGACGCGTGCGTGTGTGTGTTGTGTGTGTGTGTGTGTGTGTGTGTGTTTGTTTAAAGGTGATGTCAACTCAAAAGTGTTTTTAAAGCGACAGTTCACCCAAAAATGAAATTCACTCATTATCTACTCACCACTAAACTCATCAATACATAATTGAAGGAAGTGATCGATTCTTCAAACGTTTAAAAACAACAGTTAGAAAGATAAAATGTCTCCATGCTGCTCCGGTGGACTCGTCCAAGTGTCCAGTGGCACCGACGCTCGCATTCGACTGGAGGCAGCGTCCTCGCAGCTGGAAGAATGATGGAAGAAGGTTTCACATCACACACACATGTGCTGCCCTCACTTTCCCAAAGTTCAGATGTGGATCGGACGCGTCGTCGGTCCTCCACATCCATAAATGATTAATTGGTTTTCCCAGCGTGTGTCTGAGGCCTGCAGCAGATTCCATCCACACAGAGCAGAGATGGCAGGTGTCCAGAGCTGGTTCAGCTGCAGCACAAAACCACAACCAGCTCACTGGTCCTCAACCCGCAATCTGAGGCGCTGGCAACTGATCTGAGGACACCTTTCCATACCTTCACCCGGGGGCGGAGCTACAGCCGCAGTCACTTGCTCGAGGGAACTGTGGCAGGAAACGAGTTCGGATGGGAAGAACTGAATGTTTCGGTTGAACAGCGTCGCCTCACGTGGGTTTAAACTATAGACCGTGAATAAAGATGGACGACATGACAGCTCTCCAGAAGTGAAGCCAAATCATCTTGATCGCCCCCTGGTGGCTGGCAGGAGTGTAGGTCATGGGACATGGAGCAATGTAAAAAGTTTCTTAGAGTTTAGTAAATAAATTAAAAAT